CTCAAGGACATGTTTTGTGTTTCGAATGATGTAGCCGGCGCCGCAGTGCTCAAGGAAAATTCGAATTCGAGGAAAAGCGTTTTTTGAGGAAGAATCGTTGTTTCGCTACTATCGAATGCAGTGAATGTATGGTTCAAGTGGAAGTGAAAAGAGGTAAAGAACAGGAAGCGAGGGGGAAGAGAGAGGGAAACGTTCATACTTATGCTAATGAGATTTTTTTTTCTTTTGAATAATTTATGGTGGTAATTCTTGAGTTCGACAACTGAATGAAATTCCTTAACGACATATGTATAGTTTTCAGTATTAAGTTAGAAATATGCCTATTCAAAAAGATACCTCGTCGTGATCTACAAATAGCAATGCTCGAAATGATGACTTAATGGACTGAAACATTTCTTACCATTAAATTAATTCTTATGATTTACAAATTTTGTAATTCTCATCTTCTACCTTTTTTACTCTTCGTCTTCTTTCATCCGTTGTTAATACACCCTATTTCTTTTTTTATTCTATTAGGGCAGTGCTGTTTCAGGAGCGACTAGGGCTTGGTTGGTTATAGCTTCTGGTGCCCTAATCGGTTCCTTCTATTCTATTTTCGAGTACATTCAACACACAACTATATCTTTTCAGTATGATGGTTGTGGTGCCAAAATGTTTAAAAAATTTTTTTGGTAATGTAAAGTAAATGTACATAAATTTGAACTGAATTTTCCTGGATTCAAAAAACAAGAAACAAAAAAAAAAAAAAAAGTGCAGAAAGCAAAAAAATAACTAAAGAGGGGAACGAGCTGGTAAAAATAACGCAAAAAAAGGGAAGAAGCTGCAGCAGCAACGACAGCAGCGGTGTTACACCAGAATGGTACTTGGTGATGCGGTGGATGGCTTGGTATGATAGAACCGGATGGCGAAGCAGGCGTTTCTGGATAGAACCCCTTCGCTCTCACTGCTCTGCTGATCAATATTTTTATTATTCACGCATCGGCAACGACCCGGACGACGGCGAGTACGGCAATAATGGTGGTGCTGACGATGGCGATAGCAGTAGTGGCGAGAGGCAGCTGGCCACTGCAACTCTGACCACTGGTCTGTGTTGGGGATAAAGGCGAAATGAGATTTAGGATGTGCAGAATTTGTGGGCCACCTTTCTTCGCTCGGAACGGCCCGCGGCATTTTTAATGCTTTCCCAAACAAAGCTCATAGATCCGGTTCAAAAATGGAAA